GATCCTCCTGCCTCAGCCTCCCGAGTAGCTGGGACTACAGGCATGCACCACCATGCCCGGCTAATTTTTTCTATATATATTAGTTGGCCAATTAATTTCTTTCTATTTATAGTAGAGATGGGGTCTCGCTCTTGCTCAGGGTGGTTTTGAACTCCTGACCTCAAGCGACCCGCCCGCCTCGGCCTCCCAGAGTGCTGGGATGACAGGCGTGAGCCACCGCGCCCCGCCCCGGGGGTTTTGTAAGTCCCTGAAAGCTGAGCTGAAGGAATTCCTCTTTTACCGCAGACAGTGAGTGGGTGGAGAAAAGGCTTAACCACTTCGGACGGTCGGCGCCCACCGGCCGCGACACCTCGCCCACGGCTGGCACTCGCAGCCGCACGGCGGTCTGTGCTGCGCGTTGACGAATCCGTTCTGCTTGTGTGACGAGGAAAGCTTGAAAGCACTGAGAGCTTGTTTCACTTTACAGGCAGCTTTGCTTGTCATGTAAATATCAGAGTAGGTAACACACACATATATGTTTTCATGACGTTATTTTTAAGTGTGCACAATTTTATTTTGATAAATGAAAAATTAGAAAAGTCACATCAGGGCTGTCGGCTACAGTCGACGCTCGGCTGTATGTGTTCATATCACGGCTGTTGGCTACAGTCGACGCCCGGCTGTGCGTGTTCATCTGTGGCTGTGGACTACAGCCGATGGTCGGCTGTGCGCGTTCATCTGCGGCTGTGGGCTGTAGTCGGTGCTGGTACCGAAGTGGTTTAGGAATCGGGTCCACAGGGGGGAGATGCTTCCCCGGAGCCTGAGCGTGGGAGTTTGATTTTGTTGCAGGAAACAGTGAGTTTCCCGCCGCCTCGGACCTCTCAGAACCTCTTCCCTTCGCTCTGCTCGGCCTCGGAGAGGCGGCTTCTTCCTCTTCTGTAGCGTGGGCTCCTCTGCCCCGACCTGGCTGTGCCTGCCGTTGGCAGCTGCTCCCCTGGGGCCGGCGTTCGCTCAGTAGCATTCGGGGCGGGAGAGGAAGGATAGGTGGAAGGTTCCGGAAGGTGCCGGAAGGTGCCATCCCTGGTGGGGAGCCCTTCGAGGAGCCTCGGGAGCCGGTTACCCTCGGGGCGCTGTGGCCGTAGACTGGGGGTTGGGGTCTCAGGTGGGTGTGGGTGAGTTTTCTTGGGGGGTCAGGAAGCTTCACCGGGACAGCTTTAGCTAAACAAGGGGGCAGGGTGGGGGTGGCCCGGGAGAGAGCGGGTGAGCCTCGCTCACAGCAACCTCCAACTCCTGGGCTCAAGCGATCCTCCTGCCTCAGCCTCCCTAGTAGCTGGGGCTACAGGCATGCGCCACCATGCCCAGCTAATTTTTTCTATGTATTTTTAGTTGTCTGATTAATTTCTTTCTATTTATAGTAGAGACGGGGTCTCGCTCTTGCTCAGGCTGGTTCCGAACTCCTGACCTCGGGCAATCCTCCTGCCTCGGCCTCCCAGAGTGCTGGGATGACGGGCATGAGCCACCACGCCCGGCGGGGGCTTGCTTTTAGACTGGCGCGTGTAGCGGCTGATCTCTGCGGGAGGGAACCAGTGCGTTTCTGTGGCCAGGGCGGGAGTCCCGGCCCCCGTGGCTCTTGGCGGTGTGTTGATTTGGGGTCTCCCGGGGGCCTGTGCCAGGTCCTGCCTGCGGGCTCTGCAGGTTGTGGGCACCGGGGGCTGTAGAGTGGTGGCGGCACCTGCCGCTCTGGCTCCGGGCACTGGCCCCATGCCCGTCCTGGGATGGGGGTCAGAGATCGGTCCTTTAAGGGCGTGGGGCGTTGCTGTGCGGCTTCAGGGCTGGTCTCTGGCCTGTGGCCTCTGATCAGGCCTTTCAAGTGGTCCCACCCCCCACCCCCACACGGGCGTCTGGCCTCTCCTCTGGCTTGCCGGGGGACTCCACCTCACTGGGGTTTCCTCCCTCTGTATCTCTC